AGAGAGGGAGTTGAAAATAATGCAGTCATAAACACCAGGCCAAGCAGAAGGAAACCAACAGGCATTTCCGGAAATGATAGATAATCATGGGAGACAGGGGAGCCAGGGAAAATTGATGACAAGCCCCTATTTCCACCATTAGCTCCTGTGGGATTTTTTGAAAGGGCCATGATTAGATGTAAGATGCATTGAACTGGAAAGCTTCCATTTGTCAAAGGAATCAAACACACTGACTTGCACAGCATTTTCTCTCCCTCTAGTGGTGGGGTGGGGGCCTCTGAAATGGTATCCTAGCAATACATATTGTTCTTCATAAACAAAGGTAAGTTTCCATTTAGCACACATTCAGCCCATGAATTTAAGATTTTCCCTAGACTTGTTGCTCTCCTTTACAATGGTGCTATAACACCTCCAGGCTCCCTGAGATAGAGAGTGAATTCTCTCCTCAGAATGTTAATAATTACCTGCGGTAAGCCACAAGGGCCTCCCTCTTCTTGGAGGGTACCCAGATTTACTTCTAATATATAGGACCCCCTTTCTTCCATAGTTTTATCCAAAGCAGAAACAGGGTCTGCTAAGAGGCAGTTCTTCTGACCTCAGCTGGGCCAGAAAAAACTACAGATTCCAATGAGGAAGAGAAGACTGGTTTAGCTAGAATAATGGCAGTAATTAGAGAAATTAAGAAGAAAAAGGAAAACCCCCACAAAACTCATTGAAGGTATAAAGACTAATTTGAATCTGACATGAGAGCTAATAATTACAGGTAAGTCTTCATCTACTTTTTATTCTCTGGCATTTTTCCTATTTCATTCTTGGTCATGTACAGAAGTACAGAAAACATGCCTCCTATAGTATGGATTTGGCTCAATGATAGTGGATAAAAAATTAGAAAATACAGAACAAGTAACTAATGACAAGTAGCTAAAAATTACCTCTTTATATATATCAATCTGTATAATATAATCGCACGTGAGTATTAATGGGCATGAATCACTGGCTAATCAATAGATTATTGACCAGGAACTACAAACTTTAAGATGTGAAGTATACAGACTAGGCAGCCTTTCCTTTATTTCACAGTCAGATTTAAGCATCAATGATGCTTGTTAAATTGATCTTGTTGACTGTCTCTAAGTCAACCCTGAAAGTCTAGGCCTCTTATAGTTTCCTTTTCTCAGTGAATACCTCCATCAGCCATCCAGTTACGCAAGACAAAAATCCAGGAGTCGTTTGCCCTTCCTAGTCTCTCATCACTCTATCTCACTCTATCTAATCCATCACCAAATCTTTCAGCCTTATTACTCTCTGTTTCTGCTGTGTTAGGCGTCATTGAGTTGGTTCCACAGAATAAAACACTGCTGGATCCTGGGTCATGCTCACAATTGTAGCTTTGCTTAAACTCACTATAGCAGCCACTGTGTCAATCCATCTCATTGAGGATATTTCTCTTTTCCCCTGCACTCCCAACCCAAAGGTACACAGCTGGAATCCACCAGCCGCTCCATGGGAGAAATAAAGCCAGTCTCCTCCTGGGCATCTGACTGCCTTTGAAAACCCTTTGTAAGGTCAATTTTAAGTCAGTTTCGACTTGATGACACATTCAACAGGGTAGTTCTAGTGGTGTAGTCTGTAGAGAATTGTGCTGCTAAGCCAAAACCAAGCTTCTCTGGTAGTTCAAATCCACTACCGGTTCCAAGGGAGATTGTTGTTGTTGTTGTTGTTGTTAAGTGCCATCAGTCGACTCATAGTGACCCTATGAACGAGAAAGTCATGAACATGAAAAACTTTCATCTTTTCTCTAAATTCATAGAGTTTCCTGAGGCAAACTATTTTGGAAGTGGATGTCACTCCTGCTTCCAAGTCTATTTTAATTCAGGAGCTCCACAAAAACCAAATGTCTTTTTAAATATGAGGCCAAATGCAATCAGCTCACACCCACTTGTGAACAACAGTCACATCCAAGTCTCAACCCCAAACCAGAAAATATATCTTTGCAGAGTCCAGCCCCTCCGCTCATCTTTCCAGCCTAGAAGTAATGTTGCATGTGATTCATAGCCATGGAAATGTGCTAGAGATAAGTTATAAATCTGAATGAATTTAACAACAATCACAGGGGAGATAGTTTAACAAGGATAATAAGCCTGTGGTGATGAAGGCCCCAGAAGCTGATGGAATATCAATTGACATATTTTCAGCAAACAGATAATGCCTTGGATGCCCTCACCAGGTTATGCTAAGAATCTGGAGGACAACTACCTGGCCATCTGACATATTTGTTCCTATTCCAAAAAAGTTGACCAACAGAGTGTGGAAATTATCAAATAGTATCATCAATATCATATGCAAGCAAGATCCTGTTGAAGATTTTCCAAAAACAACTGGAACAGTACATTAGCAGAGAACTACCAGATGTGCAGGCTGGGTTTAGGAAGAGGCTGTGGCACTATGGGCATCATAGCCAACATTAGATGGAGTTTGGCTGAAAGAGTGCCAGAGGAAAGTCTATCTGTGTTTCATTGAGTATGCAAAGGTATTTAACTGTGTGGATCACAACAAACTGTGGCTAACCTTGAGAAGAATGGGAATCCCAGAACACTCACTTAATTGTGCTCATGTGGGGGAGCTCTGGTGGCCTAGTGGCAAGAAGCTGCACTGCAATCCCAGAGGTGCACGGTTCGAATCCACCAGATGCTCTGCCGAGGAAGGAGGGACAATTTCCTCCTGTACCAGTCAGATCTGATTTGACGGTACACACACACACAAATAATAAAAAAAAAATAATTGTGCTCATGTGAAATTTATGCTTGGACCAGGAGGTAGTAATCAGAACAGAGCAAGGAAACACTGTATGGTTCAGGATAAGGAAAACAAGGTGTCAAGGATGCACCTTATCTCCATACCTTTTCAATCTATATGCAGAACAGATCATTTGGGAAGCTGGACTTTACGAGCAGGAATGTGGCGTCAGGATTAGAGGAAGATTCATCAACAACCTGCGTTATGCAGATGACACAACCTTGCTTGCTGAAACTGAAGAAGACATGAGGTGTTTGCTGCAGAAGGTCAAGGAATGTATGGACTGAATATGTATGAACTCAATATGGACAAAAGCTCAAAATTAAGAAAACAAAGACTCTCACCACTGGATCTATTGGCAGCTTCCCAATGGATGGAGAAGAGATTGAGACTGTAAATAATTTCAGCTTGCTTGGTTCCACAATCAACACTCTTGGCACCAGCAGGCAAGAAATCAAAAGGTGAATTGCACTGGGAAAGTTTGGACCTATTTAGAGTACTTAAGAGAAATGATGTCAGTCTGGAGACTAAGGTGCGGCTGATACAGGCCATGGTCTTTGCAATTACTTGCTAAGCATCAGAGGACTGGGCAATAAGTAAAGATGATAGAAAAAGGATCAATGTCTTTGAGTTGTGGTGCTGGAGAAGAGGGTTGAACATAGCATGGACTGCCAGGAGATGAAACAGGTCCTCGAGAGGGTGAAACCAGGCTGCTCTCTGGAGGCAAGGATTATGAGGGACCAGTCTTTGGAGAGGGACATTATACTTGGGAGAGTGGAGAAATAGTGCAAGAGCGGAAGACCCTCGATAAAATTAATTGACTCAGTGACTGGAGCAATGGTATTAGGTCCATCCAAGAGGATGAGTTTAGAGCAGGACAGAGCAATTTTCAGGGCTAATGTGTCAAATGTGATAATGGTTACCCATGGTAGACAGTGTTTGGTGGAGCCCCCCATTAAAACAAGCTTGGAAGCAGGAGAGTCATCCACTTCCAAAACAGCTTGCCTCTGGAAACCCTATGAACCTGGAGAAAGGATGAAAGTCACACAGGCAAGTGTCGAGGACTTTCGTTCATAGGGTCACTATGAGTCGCCTAAGACTCGATGGCACTTAACAACAATGTACACAAGGTGGCTGGCTATGAGTAGCAGGTGATTGGATGGCACATAAAAACAAGGACCTTCTGCAGGGATTGGCCCTTCCTGAATAACAAACAGGTTTAAAGTACCTTCCCTGTTACTAAGGAACATTCTGCACACAAATAGATTAATTTGTTCTTCTGGTAGTTTATTATAAAAAAATCCCTCATCAGTACCATAATCGAAAGCCATCAGTTCTTTGCTTGCTTTATTCACTATCCAGCTAATTTCCTGAAATTGGACTATTTCTCTGTTTCCTCTACTGCCGAATTCATCACTTCTCTTCTAAAGTTCCTTCATTCTATTCATATAGTCAAATGCCATCTGCACACGAGCTGTTTACATAAATAGTCAAGAATACAAAGGAGAATACGTAAAAACTTAACAGGGGTTCTGAGGCCAGCTTTTCTCCAAGTGCCTCTGGTTAAATGTCGTATTTGTTACTTACAAGAAATAATCTTAATTTGTTAACTCCTTTTTGGTATGTTTGTTTTCCTAGAAAGTAATCTCCACAAGCGTACGGGACATGACTGTATCCCTACTATTTTATTACTGGTGTCTAAGAACTGAGCCTGGAGAACTATGATCACACACAGAGATGTGTGAAGTAAATTGATCGAGAAAGTAATTGCGTGGGTTTGGTGATCCAGAAGTCTTCATAGAAACGTCAAGGTCATTCACATTGCAAGGTTAACTGGAATATATAGAATTATTATTTTATTTTTTTTCGGGCACGTTGTTTTCAGTATGAGATCTCGAGACACCAGACAGACTAAAACTCATATTCAAGCTCTCAAGCACAAATGGAGTTCAATCCCCCGCTAGGAGGAGTCACAGTTCCTGACCCACAGGCCGACCTATCCTCTCCTCTGGTTCGCCTTCTCGCCTTTTCCTCCAGGACACGGTTCCGGCCACCTTCAGGTCGCAATGCTCGCTGGAAGTCGTAGTCTTCCGGTCTGAGACCGCGCGCGTATCCTGCATTTGTACACATTTCCAGAACTACATCTCCCAGGAGGCCTCGCATAGAGGGAAGCTGTGTCACCTGACCAAAACTCTGGCGGTGCAATGGCGGCGCCCATGCTTCGCTGCTACACTGTTGGAAGATGTTGGGGTTCAGCCTATGTAGACGGAGTCACTCGCTACGGATGCAGGCTTCCGAATCTTTTCACACTCAGCGGCATGAAAGGACAGAGCTCAATGGCTCTGCAGCCCTTAACTACAGCCCAGAAGCCGAGGAAAAGGTATGCTGTTTTATCCTATCATAGATCGTTTAAGAGTGAGGTGAAACTTCACAGGGCTGGGGAAATGGTGGCTACAGAGTTGAGCCAATTGTGTTGAACAGAAGAGTGTTGAACTGGAATTTAGTTCCATGAGAACATAGAACAGGTCCTCGAACAGGTGTAGTTCTATGATAACATAGGACAGGTCCTCCAGTCCCGCTAATACACAGAAATCACTGCCTTCCGTAGGTAGACATATTAGGAAAACCTGTGAATGTAAAAATCATAGGTAATACATTCAGCTCAGGGCTGCACTGATAAAAAGAGTCACTTTCCTGTTATATTAGCACTGAGGTCTGTGACACTTGAAAAGGAATCATATTTAGCTGACATTAGGTGATGCTATGGGCTAATATTGTTCTAAAAGTAGAAAGGGTGCTTTTGCCTATAAGCTCTGCATTAAAACAACAATAAACAAAAGCTCACCATAAAAAAAAAGTTTCTTCTGATTCCAGTGATCCTGTAAACAGAATAAAACTGTCCTCATACTGTTTGCAAGGCTGTAGTTCTTTTTTGGCTTCAGGTCGAGTGCCGTTTTCAGGATATCTTCTAACATACGTTTTGATTTTTTTCTTCCTCCTCTGTCTTTCAAATGACTTTTTGCTCTTTTTATGGATGATAGCTATCCTTGGTAGTATCCTACAACTCATCTGGTTCTCAATTATTGGTCTTTAGTGCTTTCATTGATTTTCAGTCTTCACACCTATTCTTAAAATGATTTATAAATTCAGGTGGGATACACTCAGAATGATATTTTGGTTCTCTTGGCCATGGTTTAATTTTCTTTAGTCTCATTTGGAACTACACATGAGTAATTGAGGATCTGTTCCACAGTCAGCACCTGGTTTGGTTTTGACTGCTAATATTGAGCTGCTCCAATGATCCATTACACAGATGCAGTCATTCTTTTTCCTGTGCTGTCCATTTGTGTTTTTTGCAAAAGGTATTTGCAATGAATAAATTATTAAACATACAGAGTTCAGTCATTCTATCTCCAGCCTCATTTCTGTCATCAGTTCCATATTTTCCAACTACACTTTCTTTTTCATTGTTTCCAACTTTGTATTCCAGTTACCAATTATTAAAGCATCATGATAAATGGAAGAAAGAATGAAATTGTCAATGACTTCATTTTGCTTGGATCCATAATCAGTATACTTTGTACCAGTAGTCATGAGGTCAGAAGATGGATTGCACTGGGAAAATATGCACTTACCTCTCAAAGTTAGTGAAGATCAGTGATTTTAGTTTGAGGACTAAAGTTTGCCTGAATCAGATTATGGCCTTTTCAGTCACTTGCTATGCTGCTGAGAGGTAGACAATGAATAAGGATGACAGAAGAAAAATTGATGCCTTTGAGCTGTGCTGTTGAAGAAGACTGAATATGCCAAAAAAACAAATATGTCTTGGAGAAAGTGCAGTTTGTTCTTGTAAAGAACGAACCAATACATCTTGCTCCTTGGAGGCAAGGATGGCAAAGCTTCACCTAGCATACTTTGGGCATGTTGCTAGAAGAGTCTATTCCTCAGAATAGGACATCATGCTGGGAAAGTGGAGGATCAGCAAAAGAGAGGAAAGCCCAAGCAGGTGAATTGACACATGGCATCGAGTGTATCAGAGATTGTGAGGATGGCACAGGAGAGGACAGAGTTTAGACCTTTTGTTTATACGTCACTATGAGTTGTACTCCCCTTGATGGAACCTAACAGTAACAACATTTATGGAAGTAGCCTGCCACATTTTTCTACAATGGAGTGGCTTTCTGGCCTGTAGCCCATTGGGTAGTGATCATTGTGCCCCCAGGGCTCCATTAATCTCTGGATTAAGAAAAACAAACCAGAAAACCCCATTATCATCAGTGGATTCCAACATATGATGAACTTCAGGGGTTTGGAGGCTACAAGTTTTTACTGGAGGAGACTATCCATCTTTGTCTTGTGGAGCAGCTGGTGGATTTGAACCATTGACCTTTCAATTAGTAGTGCAATGCATAAACTTAGTGTTAGCTAAATGGCATTACTGAGAACATAGCTATTTATGGAGTTGATTTATATTGGATTTGTATCTCGCCTTGTGAGATGCAGCAAATATAGTTCCCTTGTTATGTAGATAGCTCGTCTTGTTAGGTAATCTCTGAACAGCGGCTTATGCTTCACTATAATTTTTCTTGCAAAGTACTAAAACATAAAATATATTTCTAATATTTTTTTTTGTCCTTTGAGATAATTTGGGGAAAACCCCACAAGTATTTGGTTTCTATTCTTTTCATAAACTAGGTCATCTTACTGTGAATGGAAAATACATTTCTCTCATTCAATGAAATAATAACCTAAGTCAGTGCAGAATTTCTGATAAACTCCTGTTTAACTCCTCTCACTTAAAGGCTGGGTTTTCACACTTTAAAATGAAGGCATTAATCTTGCAGTGTTATACATGTACTGAGATGATGAAAACAAAACACTGTATGTGTAAATAAAATCTGGACAGTAGAGAGAGTTGCTTGGGAGTGCAGCATGATAGGAAAAGACAAATATGAAGAGAGTATGTGTAAACGGATCATCTGAAGAGTGCCCAGTATACAGAAATTTTAGAGAATATAGTCATGAGTATCCAGATAAGAGAAATTATTAGATCATTTAACAGTTTTCTAGGTTTAACAATCAAGCCTAAAGAAACAAGCAAGGGAACCTGAAATTAGATTTAAGAAACTGAAAATCATTTTGAGGACCAAAAAGATGCTATATCCTGTGGTGTAGGATTGAGCAGAGTTTAGATTTGTTGTTCATAGCGTCGCTATGCGTCATTCTTAAGACGATGGGACCTATCAGCAATAATGGTGTTAATTTTTTCCTTGACCTAAAATTCCTAGGAAGGGTATCAATCAGTGGTGATATGTTACATATAAATGTTGTTTTTGTTGATTGCCATTGAGGTGATCACGACTCAAAGTGACCCTATGAACAAAAGACCTGAAGCCTTTCTGTAATGATTGTTGCTTTTCAAAGTTCATAGTTTGAATAGTCATGCTAATACTTGTATTTACAAGCCATTGTTATAAAAGATATTAACAGCATAATAATTTTCCTTTTTAATAATAATATCTGAAATGTTTTACTAACCGAGTTGCTATAATCAAGGATGCTTTCGGCAGAACGTTAAATGATCCCAGAAGTTTTAAAAAAAGATGGAAGGAATATACTGAGTCACTGTATCGAAAGGAATTGGAAGACACAGAAGAATTTCATGAAACAACATATGAGCAAGAGCCTATGGTGATGAAAGAAGTTCAGGCTGCTTTGAAGGACATGGCCAAAAATAAGGCTCCAGGAATAGATGGTATACCAATTGACATATTTCAGTTAACAGATGCTGCCCTGGACGTGCTCACCAAGTTGTGCCAAGAAATCTGGAGAACGACCACTTGGCCAACTGACTGGAAGAGATCGATATTTGTTCCTATCCCTAAGAAAGGTGACCCAACTGAATGTGGAAACTACAGAACAATTTCACTGATTTCACATGCAAGCAAGATTTTACTGAAAATTATCCAAAAACGACTGGAACAGCACATCAACAGAGAACTACCAGAAGTCCAGGCTGGTTTCAGAAGGGGTCGTGGTACTAGAGATATTGTAGCTGATGTTAGATGGATCTTGGCTGAAAGCAGGGAATATCAGAGGAATGTCTATCTGTGTTTCATTGACTATACAAAGGCATTTGACTGTGTAGATCATAACAAACTGTGGCTGACTCTGAGAAGAATGGGAATCCCAGAACACTTGATCGTTCTAATGCGAAACTTATACTTGGACCAGGAGGCAGTCGTCAGAACAGAGCAAGGGAACACTGCATGGTTCAAAATTGGGAAGGGCGTACGCCAGGTATGCATCCTATCTCCATACCTTTTCAACCTATGCAGAACAGATTATCTCGGAGGCTGGGCTCTATGAGGAGAAATGTGGGGTCAAGATTGGTGGACGATTTATCAACAGTCTGCGTTATGCGGATGACACAACCCTGCTTGCTGAAACTGAGGAGGACCTGAAGCGCCTGCTACAGAGTGTCAAGGACTGCAGCCTGCAATATGGATTGAGGCTCAATGTCAAGAAGACAAAGATTCTCACCACTGGACGAATTGGTAGCATCAGGATGGATGGTGAAGAGATTGAGATTGTACACAGCTTTAGTTTGCTTGGCTCCATAGTCAACAGTCTTGGCACCAGCAGCCAGGAAATTAAAAGGCGCATTGCCATGGGAAAGTCTGCTGTTAGGGACCTCTCCAAAGTGCTGAAGAGCAGTGGTGTCTCTCTGGAGACTAAGGTGCGTCTGATATGGTCTTCGCAATCACCTGTTATGCATCAGAGAGTTGGACAATGACCAAGGAGGATAGAAGGAGAACTGATGCCTTTGAGCTGTGGTGCTGGAGAAGAGTACTGAAAATACCATGGACTGCTAGGAAAACAAATAGATTTGTCCTGGAGAGGGTTAAACCGGGTGGCTCCTTGGAGGCAAGGATTCTGAGGCTCCGTCTAACTTACTTCGGACATGTAGTGAGGAGAGACCGGTCCTTGGAGAGGGACATCATGCTTGGGAGGGTGGAGGGACGGCGCAGGAGAGGAAGACCCTCTATGAGGTGGATTGATTCAGTGACTGGGATAATTGGGATGGGAGTGTCAGAGACAGTGCGATTGGCACAGGACAGAGCGGAGTTTAGGGCTGTTGTACATAGGGTCGCTATGAGTCGCAGGCAACTCGACGGCACATAACAACAACAACAACAACAACCATTCCTCTACTAGTAGAACCTTAAATGTTTATGCTAATTCTAAATAATGGTCACAAGATCAGTCTGGTTTCTTCACTTAACAAGTGATTAATTGATAAGGGGCAGGTAATTTAGAAAAATGCTACATTTCACTGAAGTCAGCCAAGCACTTGTCACCTCATACCCTTAATTGTTTTAAGATGCCAAATTTCCATTCTCTGTAACCTTTTTATTTTTGCAGTGAACTTCTTCTGATGCCATCGTGTAAATCAATTTTATCTCAGCAGTCTTATTGCAAGGTGTTCATTATGCCTTTTTTTAGTTCCTAATAAAATAGGAAACATAAAATTTTGATAAATTAAAAACAAGTAGGAAATTAATAATTAGGATTTAGACTCATAGAAATTCAATCATAACTAATTCTTACCCATGTGTCTTTCTCTTTAGTGAATGTGAATGGGCCGCTGTGGTAGGCTTGGAAATTCATGCACAGATTTCTTCCAACTCTAAACTCTTCTCTGGATCTCAGGTCCTCTTTGCAGCACCTCCAAATTCTTTGGTTTCCTTTTTTGATGCATCTCTGCCTGGGACTTTGCCGGTAAGAGTATTCACTTCTCATTTTGGGTAGTAAAATGTCTGTGTTTCTTTAAACATGGTGAAAAGTTAAAAGAGGTAAACTCTTAAGAGTTTTAACAACTCTTAAGAAATACTTGTTTGGGGACTTTTGCATGAAGTGGAATAATTGAAATGATTTCTGAAGACCTATGTATAGTTTGAAAGTCAGTGAGCTATATGAGTACACTTTGCATGCAGGTTACCTAACTTTTCTGCTTCGGAATTTTGAAATGAGGACAATATGTTTGAGTTGTTGGGTTTTGGAGAGAATTAAGTTTCTTTAAAATACTTAAAATAGGAATTGCATATAGTAGGTACACATTAGGCTTTGTTTAATAGTCCTGGTGGTACGACAGGTACCTGCCTGCTGCCAGATGGTTGGTGACTTGAACCCACACAGTGGCTCTATGGGAGAAAGAGAAAGATGTAACCACCTTCTTCTGTAAAGAATACTGCCTAGAAAACTCCATGGGGCAGTTCTACTCTGTCCCACAGGTTTCTCTGAGTCGCTATCAACTCAGTAGCCCTGAGTAGCAAACTTTATTAGTATAACCTGTAGTGAGCAGTACGTGTTCTCCTTTACAAAAGTTCTCATGCAGCACAGTTTTGAGCCTAATGATGTTGCCTGTGATGGCAAAAGTAAATGACCAACAAAACAGTTGGCCACTTAACGTTGATTTCATTAACCAAGTGTCCTTGCCACCAAAAATCACCTTGTGCTCTCATTGCGTCAGAGATCTGCCAAGAATGAAAAGAACAATAAAATAGTGACAAATACTCTATTGGATAAAAGGATTCCTGATTTATTTTTTTTTTCTATGAAGCAATTAACAACAGGAT